TCGCAGGCGGTGAAGGCACAACTCGGATCCATCTCTTGCAGCTCTCTGTCTCCCGGCGTTTACCACCACCAGCAGCAGCTTGGGTGTTCACACCCAGTCTACAATCCGGAGCTCTTCTAAGAGACAGGGTACAAGCTAGTGTGTGCCAAGCAAGAGAACAACTGTATGAGCAGTAAGACAGTGTTGTGCTGCTCTTCAGCACAGAGAGAAAACACTGATGGCAGCCACCGAGGAGACCCAGCTATTCCGTGCGCTGTGCATTAGCCTTCGGATAAAGACAGCTATGGGGAAACAGCACATGCTGGTGATGGGGCTAAAAGTCTGGCATTGGCTAAAGAAAGCACAAGTAAGAGAGTATTTAAATAAATGGGAATTTTTCAGACCATTTGAGCATGGCGAACTTAATGCAAAGCATCCCAGAAGCCCCATCCCGGGAAATGTTCAAGGTCAGGCTGAATGGGGCAATTAGCAACCTAATCTAGTTGAAGGTGTCCCTGCTCACTGCAGGGGGTTTGAACTAGATGACCTTTAAAGGTCCCTTCCAACGGAAACCATGCTATGATTCTGTTAAATAATTGCTGTTATCTGTGAGAACCACTGGGGGACAGTGAGGCATGGAAAGATTGTAAAATGCAAGCTTTGTACCCCCTCTTCAAAATGGGGACTGGGGTCACAAACCCAGAACGGCTGACAGTTAAATCCTCTCACCCACCCACCAACCAAACAATGCTGGAATAAATAATCTCACTACAGGTAAGCAGCGAAGGTGAGCAGGAGCCTTACAGACTTGTCAAGAACAGAATTTGGTCAAAGTAAGCTGATTTTCCTCGATGACAGGGTAAGGGCATGGTGAGGAAGAGCCCTGGCTGCCATTAAAGTAGCTCTTAACTATGTTGTAGATGGGATGTTGGGTACAAAACCCATTGGATAATTATACCCAGGAAGTTATCTAGGGTTCACTGTTGAAAAGGAAGGGATCTGTTGAGTGAAGTTCAGGGACATCTGTTATGGGTCTGGTGTTGGTCAGCATTTCCATTAATGATCTGGATGATGGAGGAGAATGTGCATTTGCTAAATCTGCAGATTGGGAAGTATCCAGTGACAAAGTTACTTGCCTAACAGGCCTTTAGAATAAGCAGGACCCTGGTAAGAACCACCTGCTTGGGTTGCAGTACCAAGACGATACAGCTAGGGAGGTACTGGGGACTGATGAGGGAGACAGGTCCTGCAGAAGTTGTGTAGGACACCTGCTGTATTTGTGAGGCCCCCTGCCGTATTTGTGCTGGACCAGAGAGCATGATGTCCTTGTCCTTGACCCATGGGGAGGGAGCCGAATGTGGGAGGCTGTACTGGCTCAGCTGCATCAGGAAGGCAGGTGGCATTTGGAAAGCAGGGGACCTCTCCCGGGGCTCTCTGCTGCCAACTTGTTCACTTCATTATTTACTGTCTCTGGTGTTGGTGGATTAGGGTTTTCTCGAGGTTGTGTCAGTTATTTGGTGCCATTGTACAAAGCGCTCTCAGCTCAGAGCTGGTTTGCCATCTGGTCTGGATCCTACAGGTGCAACACCTCTGAATGCGGGGACTGCAAAGACAGACTCCACCATCTTCTCTATACAGGATTGGAAGCAGAAGCTTGAAGTGACTAGCCAGCCTGCAAAGCCAGTGGCCACACACTTGCATGCACCACTTGCCTCGTGTGGGTGCTGACTCTGTCCTGCTCAGAAACCAGACTGGTCTGGCCTAAAGTTAATTAAAATGACTGCATGGAAAATCTCAGGCTGCAAACAGGCTCACTGAACAATAACTAAACTAAGTCTTGACTTTTTCTCACTGGCTCCAACAGGTGATCATGAGAGCCCTGTGATGGAGCTGGCCTGCTCTGTATATTTGGGCATATCTTTCATCAGATGAATCCTGTGGCAGCCAGCTTTGTATACCCCCATCCCAACTGAACCTCATCTTCTCAGTGGGACAAGTAGAGGATTTTCACAAGCATCACAGCAACACAGAGAACAACGAAAGCTGTACAGGAACTAACTACTCAAGGCAAAGTGCAGCTACTAGAGCAGGTTAAAAGGGAAGGAGGGGCTCATGTTGCTCTTGGCTTCAGCTGGGGAGGAGAGAATTTTCTTTACCTCTGTAGACACATTACCCAAATGAAAGGGAAGCTAGATCCCCCTTTGATTTCTTCTCCAGGCAAATCTGCATCTTTATAAGAGGTGCTTGTTCTGGCTTTGCTGTGTTCCCACCTGTACTCAAGATCAGCATGGGGTGGAGGGGCAGGGTGTGTAGAAAAGGGTGTAGGGGAAGGACCAGGTGTGTAAAGAGCTCAGCTTCTTTCTCAAGGAGTAAGGGAGGGTTGTGGCACTACCTGCCTTGGGTTACCAGGGAGAGGAGATGGACTCAGCTATGAGTCAGGCTCAGTGGAGGGGAGGAAATTAGAGAGAAGCTCAGGCTTCCCTGGGACTAGCTACTGAAGCTACCTCAGCAACACTGTTCCCAGCATCAAGGTAGGATCCGGGTTACAATGAATGGTCCTGTCTTGGGTGCGCTATCTGTAAGTTTTAGACGTTTGTGCTTGATCTTTGAATGCACATTGCAGATAAGGTTGTGCTTCCAGTGGTAGCTGTTTCAGTGCAGGGTGATTTGGCTCCCTCATTTCGGATTAGCTCAGAGCAAAGCATAATTTTGTTATAGTGAAGTTGGGCCAACATCTGTGATTGCTTTCAGCATCTGGTCACCAACACCTTCAGCAGCAGCTGGTCCCTGTGAAACCGGCTTTGACAAAGACTGAGTGGTTCATATGCTTTGCTTGTGAGGGACATCTTACTGTGTCCTAGTAAGGATCCCTTTTTAGCAAAGACCTTGCTTCCTCTCTGCATGCTAACAGCATTGCAGAAACCTGGTTTACACCAGTTTTGTCTGTCCTATTTGTCCAGGTAAGATAGTTTGTTGTGGTGATATGTTTTTTTTTATTTTCTAAGAGAAAGTAGAGTATCAGAGTTGTGCTTTCCCCTTGGAGCATGTGCCTGATGAAGGGAAAGGAGGCTGCACTGGCTAGGGATGTCCTGTTGCACATGGAGCTTCCTTGGGCCCTTGGAGGAACCCGCTGCATTGCCCCGCATTGGCTGAAGCAGCAGGTCCCCCTGGTGCACGTACATCACAGGAGAGCCAGCCCCATCTTACAGCTTTCTCAACAGAAACTGCACCAGGGCAGGCTGCTGCAGGCTGCCTCTCCCCTGGAGGCTGCTGTTTGAAGTGGGAGTGCCCAGAGGGGTTCCCCTGCCCCTCACTGCTGGGACCCCAAATGTACTGGCCCCATCCAGCACAGTGGGGAAGCCCGAGCCAGGAGAGGCTCAGCCTTCCTGCTGCAGTAGGTGCATTAAACAGGGAGCAGGGAGGGAGCTTGTTTTCCCTTTCATGCTGTGCTGATGGGCCTTTGCTGTCCTGAGGAGCCAGGTGTGGCATTTGTAAGTGAGGAACAGAGAAGGCTCCTCCAAACCCCAGGCCCCTGTTCTGACTTGGGCTGCCTTGTGCTGGCATTCCCAAGGATGCTGGCTCTTGCCTGGGCTGCTGGCGCTTGATTTCTGAGTCTTCAGACGCAGGCTCCTGCTCTCAATAACCAGACAGGCAGAAGCCTTACAGGGATTGTGCCAACTTTTATTTTATTATCTTTTTTTGAAATGGGATTTGGGGAAGGGAAGAAGGTGTGCGAGGGGGAGCTGATTGTTGCAAAAGGAGGTGCTTTGGATGTACACTGGCAAAGGTGTTCCTGTCTGACTGGTAATGACTGGAGCAGTAAAGCATGACGGGCAGGATGTTGCCTCAGTGGACATGCTTGCCTTATGGGGCTTTTGGTTTTAAGGTCTACTTTGTAGGTTATTTCAGGTACAAAACAAAAAAAGCATATTTTAATATCTATATATGTACTTGTATATATATATAAAAGATATATATACACATACATATTTTATATCCTTACAACTCCCAGTTCCTAAAGGCTTCAAGTCCTAAGGGTCATGTGTGTATATGCATTATAAAGGGAGATGCCAATCGACTTGAGACAAGGCTTTCCTTCCTGGCTGTGTGACAAATAAGTGGGTGAGATCTCTTTAACTGAAATCTCACACGTGTGCAGGGAGAAGGGGTTGGCCAGCACCGAACAGCGGCTCCGTGTTGCCCTGTCCCTGGCTGTTCCCTGCAGTGGTGGTTTTGTCCAGCTTGCCCGTGCTGTCCTGGGGATTTGGGGAGCTCACCCCTGGGGGGCTCAGAGGGGCAGGTTCAAAGACGCTTGGTTCTGCTGCCCATGGGTCAGGCACCCCATGCATTGGGGCTCCTGTTTCCTCACGGGGCTTCCAGTAGATTCTTTTGGTTTCTTTACCAAGAGGGAGGAGGTTTGGTGGGCAAGAGGGAGGGGGTTTGGGAAAGGAAAGATAGTCAAAATTCACCATACAATAGTTAGACAAATCTTCACAGAGGTCTGTCTGCCTGCTTGCTTCTCACTCTCTCTCGCTCTCTTGCTCTCTCTCACGTTTACTCTCATTCTCTGCAGGACGTACAGCTGTTGTAGGGCTAAAGGTCTCCTTTTGTCAGGCTAAGGTCAAGTCCCTGGTTGGCAGAGGGCAGCCCTTCATACGGGCCTGTCCACGGCGTATTGGCAAGGGCTCAGATTGGAAGCTGCCGTCTGCACCGCCGGGTAGGTGAAGTTAGTGTGCTGCTTGGCCTTCAGCCGCAGGCTGGCCAGGCTGGAGTTGCATGTGTCCCTGTACATGTAGGGGCTGGCTGTTGAGGCGTAAGGACAGGCACTGGATGAGACAGCAGAGTTGAGGCTTGGGCTGTTCAGGTTGTTGATGTTTCCCAGGTTGTTGAGGCTGGAGGCCGGTACTCCGGTCACTGCAGAAGGGACCATGGATGAAGGCATGGTCATCGAGGCGATGGAGCTGGGTGGGGAGAACATGGGCTGGGAGGAGAGGGGACTGACGTTCATGGAGTTGAAGAACGGGAAACTCTTGGCTGAGAGTGGGCTGGTGGCGAGCCCCTTGGTGGCCCAGTTGTTGTAGGAATAGCTGGAATACATGTCATCATAAGGCTGCATCAGTCCATTGAACTGGGCTCCAAAGCTGTTCTTGCACAGTTCGGCCTGTTGGTTCCTCTCCCGTTTCCTCCACTTAGCTCTGCGGTTTTTGAACCAGACCTGCGAGAGAGAGAGAGAGAAGGGAGGGCATGGGAATTGTTCTGGGCTGTCCCTGGAAGGGGCCTTGCCCCAGTCTCTTTGCCCAGTAAGGCGAGAGCTGTTGAAGGGCTGGGGATGCTCCCAGGGAGCTGGGAGGCTGAGCATCAGGAAAGGGTTGCAGCAAGATGTCTGGGCTGCAGGGTCACCTCCCAGCAAGAATTGACACCTAGATCAAAACTCAGCCACTGCCACTTTACAATACACAGAATAACCCACTCACTCAACAAATGGATGCCCTTTACACGGGGAAAAGGGAGGAAAATATTTGCTGTATTTGCAAGTGACCACAGTCCAGGAGGAGGGGTTGGAATTGTGTGACTTGGAAGCAAAATATTTGGGGGATGTGGTTTGAGAGCTGCTGAGTGGAGGAAATAACCTTGCTTGTTTTGACTTCACCTCAGGACCAGCTTGGGGTGGGGTGTTAGAAGTCTGTCTTCTAACAGGAAAATCTGTTAGTGTTGGAGGGACTCGAACAATATAACTTCCTAGAGCATGGAAGCTGCTGGAAGGCTATTCATGGTGCTGCTAACTCATATTTCTAGTAGAAGAGAGAAGCTCTCATTCCAGCTGGAGCTCTGCCACACTACGCCTGTGACTGCACAGTGGTTTGGGAACACCAAAGAGTGCCCTCCAGCAAGGCTAAAGCTGGGGGACGATGGCACTGGGGTCTGCTGGGTTGGGGCAGACAGCTGGTGGGGCTTTGCATCTCCCTGCGTTGTTGCAAGGTGGCACTGGATACGGAAGGTACTGCCAGCATGGGGGAAGTGTGTGTGGTATTTTCAAGACAGGGAAATGTTCTAGTGCCCCTAATTCCTTCCTTGGTTTGGAGACAGCTTGGTGGCTTGTATCACGGCCTGCTTCCTCCCCACAGGCTCAGGCCCAGGAAGGTGGGAGGGCTGCAGTCCTACCCGGACTCGTGCCTCCGTCAGGTTGGTCCAGACTGCAATCTCCTCCCTGGTGCTCATGTCTGGGTAGCGGTTTCTCTGGAAAGTGGCTTCCAGCTCCTGGAGCTGCTGGCTGGTGAAGTGCGTCCTCTGCCTCCTCTGCTTCTTCTTGAGCGAGCCGTCCTCAGGGTTGGAGTCGTCCGTCTGGTTTTGCTGGGACTTCTCCGTGTCTGTGTGAGAAACAGAAAGGTGGGAGATATCCCCTGAGTTAACTCGGAGGGACTTGGATGCATTTGGGGAGCCTGTCCTTGGGGCAACTAGTGCATGTTCAGCAAGGCCCCCCTCTGCTGTGGTCATCAGCAGCTCCAGCCACATCCATAGGAGCAGTCCCATCTCCCACTCTTGCCCTTGTGAGCAGGCGTCCACCTCAGACTGAAACCAACGTCCCCTTGATGCAGCACAGCTTGCCCTGGCTTAACTGCTGTAATGGATGTCAACTTCCAAGTGACTGGATTTGGATTTTCCAAACTTCCATCTCTGATTTTCATGTGTCGCAGTTAAGATGGGTGATAGTGGCAGAACTTACCCAGGCCAGCAATTTCCTACTCTGCTTAAATCTCTCTGCCTAAGGTGCCCTTTAGAAAAACTGAATGAAAATTGTAATTTATGACACAGCAAAAGATCCAGGAGCGTTTTTGTAGACAAGTGATGGGGAAAGGCAAATTGTCAATGATAAGTTGAAGCTCCTAAACTAACTAAACCTGAGGAGTATAAATTTTTATCCTTCCACCTCTTCCTCCCTTCTTACTCCTCTACCTTTTCACTTAGGTGCATGTATTTTTATTTTTTTAGAAGTAGGAAAAGGCCTCTCTTAGACCTCACCATGTAGTACTCCAGCATAGAATCATAGAATGGTTAGGATTGGAAGGGACCTTAAAGATCATCTAGTTCCAACCCCCCTGCTGTCAGCAGGGACACCTTCCACTAGACCATCTCTCTGTCCTTCTGCCCCTGCCCTCCTCTTCACTCAGAGATACCTTTCCTAGAGTCAGTCTTTCATTTTGTTATTCCTTAAGTGAACATCTTGAAACTCTCCAGTGTTTACACTGGTATCTAACTGAAAAGTGCAGCTCAGCCTCCTCCTAGGCAGTCAGCCCAGGCCTTAATGCTGAGCTTTGGGCTGCTGGAGGTGGGCAGCCAGGTGCTGCCATGTGCCACAGCCCCGCCTTAGGCTTTCAATATTCTGCAAACAGGGGCAGAATGCAAATATAAATATCTTCCATCATCACAAGAAAATGCCACATTCGAGTCACTTGGGCAATCTACAGAGGACAACTACAGGGAGGAAAACTACAGCTTGTGTTTAAAAAAAAAAAAAAATTTGCTGGGAGCCAAGACAAATCACCATTATTCCAGTGAAAATAAATATTTTTTTATGTTCACCTCCTCCTTCCTCTGATCTAGAAGCAAGGTGAAGCAGTTCCAAGTGAAAATCAGGTTTTCAGCAGGGAGGGGAAATGTTCTTTTTTTACATCTGCAAATACCCAGCTAAACTAAGTATAAATCATTGCAAACAACTGCCAAACCATTGCACTTGTGAGAAGAACCTTTAAAAAATCCTGGCATTGCTCTGCTAAGATCCACATGAAAAGGATTTTCTGTTTGGTTGTAGTTTTTATAAGTGGAAACTAGCTTAAAAGGCTTGAAAGTCCAGAAAAATCCTAACATGGAAGTTATCTTGTACAGCCCCTTGTACAGCAGGGAGGCAAGAAAACAGTAACCTGGAATCCAGCTGGGTGAGAAAAGAGGGTTCTTCAAGTCAGATGGATGTGCTCTGAAAAAATACAACACATACAAGCTAAATAGAAAAGAGAGAGCCTGAGAGAGAGGCTGAAAACCACCTGAGCCCTGACTGAAAAGGACTCCACTGCAGGGCAGTGCTGTACCCACCCCATGGGAGACACCCCTGCCCCAGGGAGACACTCCTGTCCCGGAGCCTGGTGCCACTACCCCGTTCCTATGGCAGAGCGTTACTTCTGAAACCTCTCCCTGCCATTCCTGGGAGAACTCTCCTTACACATGCCTTGCTCTGGAGGAGCAAGGCTGGAGCCATGGAGAGCATTTGGAGGAGAGATGCTCACTCTCCATGGAGGAAAGCCTGGGTGGGGTCAGAAAAAGTTTGTTTCTTTGGGTATGTGTCACACTGACTGAAGCAATGGAGGGTTCCCACAGACTCCCCACCAGCTGCTTCCATTTCTGTGGCACATTTCATGCTATCTGCCAGCAGGAAGGCAAACACAAGGAGAGCTAGCTGGCTGTTGACAACCACTCTGAGACAGCTGGAGCAGCCTCTACCATGCATTGGCTGACAACAGCAGGGCACAAGTTGGTTATGCTGAGGAGGAAGGCACTGTCACCCTTTCCCAGTGCCAGGACCAGCTTGTGTCTCCACCCAGAGTGTACCAGCACAAGAACTTTCACAGTGCACTCTTGAAACAGAAAAAGCTGTAGGATGTCAGAAGTGGGACGGCAGGAGCTGGCGGTGGTCTCATGGGACTCTCCTTGTTCCCATGAGCATCCTCATGTGGGGATCCCATGTTCAGCAGAACAATTGGAAGCATGGTCTTAATGTGGATTTTTTTTTTAGTGGTTCTTGTCAAGGGGCTATATCTGATTTCTCTAGCTCAGTGCTCTAAGCCAGTGCTGGAAGAGGGAGATTCCTGCATTACCCATCTCTTAAAACAGATTAAAAGGGGACTGATGCCACCATGTCTGAGCTAGTTATTAGGAATGGCTCAGTACAGACGAAGGGACAACATTTGCTTTGTTTGTTCATCTGCTAAGTCTGGGTTAATTAAGAGCCCGATGCATACAGGGGATATGTTCCCACAGGAGCCCCTGACAAATGCAGATTTCTCTGAAGAGGTGGCTGCCAAGCAGGAGGCTGCGGGGAGCTCCTGCTCAGGACTGCCTTTCTTCATGCAGGAAGAAACTGTTTAAGAGAACAGACCAAAAGTACCACTGGCTTATGGGCTTCATCTGCGTGCAAGAGCTCACCCAGTACCTTGCTTTGGTATTTGTCTTCTCCATACCTTGTGGGGTGGAACTTTCCATAAATCTTGTGAAGCCCAAGGAGATGTGGGAATCCTGACTTTGAGCCTGGAAAAGTCTCTGCATCTACAGTTCCTCTTATTGTCCTCTCTGATTCTGTACCTGCTACCTACTTCCTGAGCATTGCTTACAGGGAGTGTCATCTCCGTTTCTGCTTCTTCTCTATTCAGGAGAAAAGCGCCCTCTGGAAATAGTGCAAAGCTTGAGCATTGCAGTGGGGACCAAAAGCTTGGCAGTACGGGGAAACAACGGACCCTGCAGGAAGGACAGACCCTGTGGGTGCCCTGAATCCACGTTCAGGAGCAAAAGTTGGAGAGATGCAGCACAGTTCTTCACTTAGCCCCTCCTTGTCCTTGCTCTCCTCCTGACCTATGCTGCCTGATGAAACCTGACGAAGAGGATGTCATGAACCACTCCACACCACCAGAGGACACTTGGGATCTCTGAGAGCCGAGCCCAGACAAGCAAGGTTTGTGCTCCCTTTCTCAGGATCTCTTACTCTGCAGATGAAGGATGCGGAGCCAAGAAGGGAGGAGGGGGACTGCTCTCTTGAGGAGAGGCGAGAAGTGCCAGAGGCGCAGCCCTGCCCCATCCCGGGCAGCCCTTGGTGGCGCGCTCTGTTCTGCCTGGCACTGGTAACGTGTGGCTGCCATCAGCCTCTCTGGTGCAAATGTGTGAGCTGCCAGCCTCTGCGTGCAGGTACCACAGGCAAACACCCGCCTCCCAGAGCCATTTTATTTCTAGACCATTTAAGACAGTGGGGAGTGACGTAGCCAGGCACCTAGCGTTTATTGTCAACCCAAAATAGGTTGTGGAATATATCTCGTGCACGTTCACCCACTCAATGAAACGGCTGTGGTCATGGCTGGAATTAGCTGCTCACACTTAATGGAAAAAAAAGTCAGCTCCTAAATTGGCAGTTCTGCAGCGTGCCAGGGTGGGCTCGATCGGGAAAGCCACTTGAATGGAGACAACTGCTGTGCATCCAAAGCAGCTGACGAGGAGCCACTGAGCTTGGGGATGTGCCCAACTAAGGTACGCATCCAGTGGGGAATTCAACGGGTGGATTCTCTGACCATAGTTATCCCAGTGTAACCCCCTTCACGACACTTACTCCAGGGAATTTTAATCTGCATTATTATGCTTATTAGCTTTTGCATGTGGGTGAGCCTGGAGGCTTTATGTGGGGGAGCAGCAGGCTGTCCC